TTTAGTTTTGAATTCCTTGTACATTAATGCTCTGTCAGATGTACAACTAGCAAAAAATTTCTCCCACTCCCTAGACTGTCTTTTTACTTGAGTAATTATTTTCTTTGCTGGAAAGAAGCTTTTTAATTTTATACAATCCCATATGGGATTTATGTCCTGGGTTCTTGGAATTCTCTTCAGAAAATCCTTATTTCTGGGTCTTGAAGTGTTTTTCCTACTTTTCCCACTGTTTCAGATGTTTAGGTCTGACATTTAGGTCTTTCATTAATGTTGAGTTAATTTTTGTACAGGGTGAGAAATGGGAAAGGTTTCACTCTTCTACACTTAGAAATCCAGTTTTTCCAGTGCCATTTATTGATGAGATTGTGTTTTCTGGCATCTTTGTCAAAAATCAAGTGGCTGTGCTCTGTGGGTTCATATCTGGGTCCTCAGTTCTGTTGTATTCATCTACGTGTCTGTTTTTGTGCCAATTCATGCAGTTTTGTTACTATGGCTCTGCAGCATAAGTTGATTGTTGATCTTTGATTTATTTGCATTTTTCTTCTTATGACTAAAATAGAATATCCTTTCAGATGTCTAAATATTGTACTGTTTAGCAATTTTCTATTGTACCAATCTGAAGATACAATTTCTAGGACATTAATTCATTTATTTATTATTTCATGTTACCTTGCATTTTTTGGGAGGACAGACATAGAAGTACAACTGACTGAGTAAAGATAACTTGTTGGAAAGTTAGTGGAAAATTCTAGGTTTTGTCCTAAGAGTATGGTCTACTGTTACTTGTAAAGGCAAATACAAGAAAAGAAAACAGGCTTACTTATCCCTACTGAAAACAAAGGAAAAGACTTTTTTATTTCTCTTTTCTTGGAGCATTTACTTTAGAGAACTTGTAATCCCCAGCACCCTCCGGAATACATGTGAGATGAAGGCAGGAGGATAACTTGTGGGGAAGAAGAGGCCCGACAAGGGGATGGCAAGGGGGTGAATAAGAACACAGGCTATTAGCACATATGTAGGGAAATATTATAATTAAACATATTATTTTAATGTCAACTTAAAAATCAATGAAAACAAAGAAAGCATAATTATAGTCTTTCAATGTCATTGAAATTTACATGTCTTTTTAAAAGTTAAACCAGCTTCTGGTCAGCTTTAGACTCAGGAATATCTTTTTCAAGGACCTGAAAACATGTCTTTGAAACATAATCATGAAGGAAGATAGAGTTCCCATCATCCAGTTTCTGTGGTTTAATTTTTCCTCTGAATAAAACCAGTTCACAAATACAGATGTTCATCCCAATGGCCAGCTAAATATAGGGTGATCTCTGCTCACAGACTATGCTGCCAGCTCCCTGAGGACTAATTACTGCTTACCTTGAGAATATGTATTAATGAGTTGCATTCTTTTTGTTATATAGAAGCATGAATTTCTTTCCATCTTTACAATAACTTAGTGGATTTTCTATGACGCACACTGTATTGTGGTTTAATGCCTATCCAATCACAAAACTTTTATTTATTCTACCTTTGTAGAGAGGTTTTCTGCATTGGCAGATTTTTAGTTATCTTTTCCCAACAAATTGACTTTTAAAAATTGATAGGTCTATCATTTACAATCAGAGAGACTGAAGGTGTCTTTCTGATCCCTTATAGGTTTATAAATTCTAGGAAATAATAAAATGAACAATTTTCCAGGGTTATCAGTGAGTTCTTTTTTCATTTTCCTGTTTATTTTTGAGGCAGGCTCTCATTGTGGACTCTAGGCTGGCCTCCAATTCACCATCCTCCCACTTTGGCCTCTTGAGTGTAGGAATTCCAGGCTTATACCATAATGCCTGGCTAGTTTTCTTTTTAATAAAGAAGGCAAAATGAGATTTTTGACTCTCGAAATCTTTTACAATAAGAATGCATACTTTCTGTTTTGAGCAATTTCTTCATTGTATGCTTCATGTCTTTGTTCCTCAGACTATAGATGACAGGGTTGATCAGTGGCGTCACCACAGAGTAAAACAGAGTGATGATCTTCTGCATTCCAGCTGCATGCTCAGATGTTGGGCTCACATACATGATCATCACTGACCCATAGAAAAGAGAAACCACAGCCCAATGAGACCCACAAGTAGAGAAGGCTTTTCTTCGTCCAGCTGTTGAAGGGACCCTCAACACAGCTCTCAAGACCAGAGCAAAAGATGCCACGATGAAGATAAAAGGAATAAATAAAAGTAAGGGACTTAAGGTGGAACTAGTCAACTCTATTAAAGGGTTTCTTATACAGGCCCACAGAAGGACATCTGGGAAATGAAGATGATGGGGACCAGGAACCAGAGGAAACCAAGTACCCAGCAGCTGGTCACAAGGATGTTGCAGAGGCGCCCAGTCATAAGAGTGGGGTAATGTAGAGGCCTGCAGATGGCAAGGTACCGATCAAATGCCATAACTGCCAGGAAAAAGCACTCTGTCGAGCCCAAGGAGAAGAAGAAGTAGAACTGCAGAAAGCACCCAGAGAAGGAGATGACCTTGGTGTCGGAGAGGAAGTTGGCCAACATATTGGGGACTGTGGAGGTGACATACCAGATCTCCAGGAAGGAGAAGTTGGCCAGCAGGATGTACATGGGGGTGTGGAGTCTCTGATCCCAGCGCACAGCACAGATGATGGATCCATTGCCCATGAGGGTGAGGAGGTAGACCACGGAGAAGAGCACAAAGAGGAGGATTTTCCCCTGCCTTGGGCAAGGGAAGCCCAGGAGGATGAAGCCAGTGATGGTGCTGGGGTTGCTGGGGTTGCTGAGGGTTTTCATGTGTCTGTGAGCTGTGAAAGCACCAGAAGTTACCAAGTGGCAGTTCACAGACAAATTACAAAACCAAGAAATGTTTTTAGGTCATCTTCAGGGAATGCGAACAAAACCGTTTGTGTATAATTTGTCATGACTTTGTTTTACCTTGAAACATGCTGGACAACAGTTGTTGGTCTGTAGTAACTGTCGATTCATAGACATAGAAGTTTTCTTTTTGTGAAATAAGTGAAATTTGTGAAAATTCATAGCTTAGTAAATCATCATGAAAACATCACTCTACCTACATCAACCCTTCTCCTTCCATCTGAATCACTGGCTCTAATTCCTCCAAATGTAACACTCTAATTGATTTATGATAATGGCTTCCTTTTTCTTTAAGATTTAACAACTTTAAAGCAATTTAATAACTCACAGTGCATTTCTAAATAATTTTCTTGGTTTTGTTTGCTTTTATACTTCCTACAAATGAAATTGTCCTATTGAATGGTCTCTTGTTCAGTAGAAACTTTTGTGAACTGCATGCTGTTTGGAGTTAGTCTATTTTTTTTCAGTTAGTCTATTTTTAATGTTTTATACTTGATGTAAATAAAGCACCCACTTACTTTCCCTTTCTACTGTGGATGCATGTTTTGGTCTGTTTCTGGTGTGGGGCTATCAGGAGCAGTGTGGCCTCTACCCTGCAGGTCCAAAGGGCTCATTTCTGAGCTGCCATGTCTCACTCCCTCTTTCGTGAACTCCTTGATTGTCTGCCAGTCTTCTTCTCTAGCATTGGGGTCTTCAGTCTCAGGAATCATAGGAGTATTTTAACAGTTTCTTCTTTTTTCCTTCCCCTTCCCTTCCCCCCCTTCCTTTCATTCATTTTTTGACAGAGCCTCACTATGTAGCCCTGGCTGGCCTTCGATTCGCAGAGATCCACCTGCCTTTGCTTCTGGAGTGCTAGGATTCAAAGTGGGAGCTAAAGTGTTTGCTACAACTTTTTCTTTATCACACTGGGTAGCTCTGTCCTTGGTAGTACTCTTTTTAAAAATTTTATTGTATTGCATGCATGTATGTAAGTGCACCTATGTCACACAATGCTCGAGGAGGTCAGAAGAGGGCACCAGATCCCCTGGAACTGGAGTTAGGAGTTGTTAGCTATCATGTGGGTGCTGGGAACTGAACCTGGGTCCTCTACAAGAGCAGCCAGTGCTCTTAACCACTGAATTATCTCTCTAGCACAGTTTTTTTTTCCAGAGTAGATGAGTACATTAAACCTGTTTTACTTTTAACAGAGAATATTCCTTAAATGATAATGAAAGCTGGCCATAAGATGTTTTAGGAGACCACTTCAGTGCACTGGGATGTTCCTATCCATGGAAATGAGCCCTGTGATCAGCGCTGTGACTTAAACCAGATATTCCTGCTTTTTTTTTTTTTTTGGTTTCTCTACTTAAATTAGGCTACTTAAGGGCATAGTTCCAAGGGATAGAGTCAAAGGAAATCTTGTCATGGGCTTACTATAAGGTTCCTTGAGAAGTAACTTGCTTAAAAGTCACTGGGAATTGTATAAATGATTTGCATGTAGAAAACCTCCAGCAGCCAACAAGAATTCAGAAAAGGATGCAATAGACACACACACACACACACACACACACGCACACACACACACGCACAGACACACACGGGGCGGGGGGGGCACAGCTTACTCAGGTTGTATGACTTCGGAACAGGGGCTTTATTTATTTTTTTAACTTGTTGATTCATGCTATTTGAGAATAGGCCTCTTGGCAATAATTTATCACTTTTAGGAGTAGGGCATCCCAATTAATCGTGTGAAATAGCTGCATCTCACTTCTGTTAAAGCGAGTCTCTAACCAACAAGAGCACATACACCTGAAGCATAGAATTAGCATTAATTAGATTTTCCAAAGTAGATATGTGACTGTCTAGGCTAGGAATATGGGTCATCCAAGCACTGACTCCTAATGTAGGCATGTGATGGGTGGAGCCTGTCGTTGTTCATATAATGTTTAGTGAAGCGCTTTTGGTGGGAAACTTGAAAAGAGGTGGAAGCATTATTATCAGTGTTATGTGCTTCCTCTCCTTTAAAAAATTTTTTATTTAATAATTACATGATTAGAAGAAGCATTTCATTACAGCTTTAACATACTCAGTGACACATTCCAGAGCAAGGATACATCTCTTTTCCACGTGGCTGTAAATTTTTAGGTTCACAGTTGAATTAATACAGTTATACAATATTGAACTCAGTATAAA